ACACAGCTTACAAGGCCAGAGCTATGGGAAAATCTCAAGTGTACAAGTGGTTTTCTCATTTAAAAAAAGGTGAAATGTTAATTGATGGCAAACCTTGTTCTGGATGTTCGTCAACTTCCCGAAGGGACAAAAATGTGAACTTGTAGTGCATTAGGAGTTAGTTCCACCAGGCCAGACTGCTAATCAAACTTGTGCGACAAAAAAGGTCTGATTTGGGGCAGATGGGGAATTGGTTTTGCTAACACAACAATGTACCTGCTCATGCAACCATTTCAGTGTGCCAGTTTTAGGCAAAAAACAGCATGTCTCTCTTGCTCCACCCACCTTACTCACCTGACCTCACTTTGTGTGACTTCTTGTTTCTTCGACTGAAGAAGGACATGAAAGGGCAGCAATTTGAAGACATAGAAGAGGTGAAGAAAAAATGGAGATGCTGTCAGCCATCCGAATAGATGAGATTTGACAAATGTATTAAGTGTAATGGAGAGTACTTTTAAGGTGGTAAGGTTGTTTTGTAAAAAAAATTTAAATACATAGCTTTGAAAAAAAATTCCATTTTTTTTGGTACTCCCTTGTATATTCTCTGTCATCATCAAAAACAGACCAGCTAAATTGTTTTATGCCATACTGAGGATATTAGACTTATTTCTCTGTTATTTTATGCACGTTTTGATAATATATTTTCTGTGACCACCCTCCTATCCCAGGTAAAATTTTAGCATTGAAGATTTACTTGTGATACATAGGGATTATATTGTTCTTTCTTGATTGTTCATGTAAGTATGGATGATGATACAACTCTGTGCTCTTTTTAAGGTATTGCCATCAGAGAGTCAGCAAAAGTTGTTGACCAAGCTCAGAGGAGGGTATTAAGGGGAGTTGACGACCTGGACTTTTTCATAGGAGATGAAGCCATAGATAAGCCTACATATGCTACAAAGGTAAGCTTCTGCCCCAGATTGCTCCGTACAAGTGTATATCAGGAATAGAGCACTGGAGTAATGTAAAGTGACCCACTGCCTAGGAATTTTATTTGTGAATTATGGGATGTATTTTTCATCTTATGATGAGTAAAGGCTTTTGTTGTTGCTTTTGAGCAGAAGTCTTTCAATTTTAGGAATATGAATTAACCAAGTCCCAGTATGCATAATGGATTCAGAGGATCCTTGGTTGCATAGACGAGCAAGGCCTACTACTATGGAAAATGGCAGGCTGAATGATTAACCTGTCATATATGGAAAATTGCAGCCTGATTAACTGACCAGAAATGCTGTTAAGTTTTTAAATAGGTATTTGTTCTTAAGAAGAAAAAAATAAAGAATGAAACTTATATGAGCCATATGTGCCTTCCACACTGGATTTTAGTACTAAAGATATATTTAAACTTTCTACTGTAAGATTCTGTTGTCAGGTTCTAACTAGCTGGTGCTTAAACTCATGTTGGATAAATGCCCTTTTCATCATGATTAACTTGTACAGTTTTTAGTAGCAATCTTGGCAAGGCTGCTTGGAACAGACACCTCCATTCCCTCTGCTGTCTCTGATCATTTACTCTGCTTGGTCCCCAGGTTTGCAATTTTCTCCTAGCATATGTCTTCTTACTTGTAAGAAGTTAGTTCAAGAGATAAATCTTTAGAAATCCTTTCTTCAATTTCCTTTCTGTTGCTAGAGGTAGAACTCATTTCTTCTTTCTTTGTGTATGCCTTATACTCGATTTTATGATACTAAAAGTAATTTTAAAAATTGTTACAGTATCCATTCATTTCTCTTTTGAGTAAATTCTTTCCATTGTTAGAATCTCATTTCATTATACCCTTGCCTCACAATATCTCATTATATGTCCATAACCAACCAACAAACAAAAACCAGCTACTGCCGTTGAGTTGATTCTAACTGATAGCAGCCCTGTATGTGGTTTCTGAGGCTGTGACTCTCTGGAAGCAGACACCCTCTCCTTCTCCTGTGGAGCAGCCGGTAGGTTTAAAGCACTGGCTTTATAAGAAGCAGTTCAATAGCAACACCCATTGTGATTATTTTTTCATTGCTTGTTTCATTTATTTTTGTGCAATATAAGCCTTTCTGTACCTGATTGATGAGTTTTAATCCATTACATTTATTCTAACTACCATTGTATTAAATTTTATATTTGCCATATTATTTCATGTTTTCTACTTAATGTTTTATAGGGTCCCTAAGAGTCAAAATTGACTCGATAGCACTGAATTTGGTTTGGCTTTCCAGTCCAGGGTGCTCATCTTCCAGTCCCGATATCAGATAATATTCTGTTGTGATCTTAGGGTTTTCATTGGCTATTTTTTGAACATAGATTATCTGATATCGGGATTGGCAGATGAGCAACCCTATAGGAGAGGGTAGAATTACCCCTGTGGGTTTCCTGGACTATAACTCTTTTTTTTTTTCTTTTAAAATTATTTTATTGGGGGCTCGTACAACTCTTATCATAGTCCATCCATCCATCCATCCATCCAATGTGTCAAGCCCATTTGTACATTTGTTGCCATCATCATTCTCAAGACATTTACTTTCTACTTGAGCCCTTGATATCAACTCCTCCCCATTTTTATAATTTAATGTTAACTATCTCATTTTACGTGCAATGAAACCACCACTGGGATTAAGTAATTTGTTTAAGATTACACAGCTATTAAGTGACAGAACTGAGATTCAAATTGAGGCCTTCTGGCTCCAGATTCTATAGTCTTATTAACTTCTTGAATTATTTTCATCGCTACAGTGTTAAAGCAC